TAACTAACTACCTCATTTACACTAAGCAAAATAAAATGATGAAATTATTGAAAGATATTGAATTTTAAGGGGTAGCCTTTTGAGTAAATGTATTTTAACCCCACAATAAAGAATGACACAAAGCTCACATGAGTTATACATTCAGCTCCATTATATATGTCAAGGATTTTTAAAATGTGAATCTCATCCAATAAATTACAAAAATTAGTATTATCATGATGCACATAAATTGAGTTTTCAAATGAAAATATAAATATGATACTTAAACATAGAATAAACGCTTACAGAGTGTTGATATGCAAATAATTCAAGCTTCCAGTTGAATATTAAAAATCTCATCATAATTAAGAGAGATTAATATAGTCAAAATCGGAAGTGTTTTCTCACTTAACAGAATTTTTAAAAATATGAACCCGGTGGTGTAACTCTTACCCCTGACTTAAATCATGCATTGTCCTCAATACAAAAATAGTCATGCAATGAGAAAACTGAAGACAATAAGGAAAATAAAACACCTGACTATAGGTTCCAAATAAAAAACCACCGGCTGCAAAACTAAACAAAAAGAAATAAACATAACAAAATAAACTTAAACAAAATTGAAATAAAAACACACAGGAAATAAAACACAAAAGAAAAATAAAAAACTCAAGGATATGCTTATAACTCCCAACCTAGACCCAACACTATGATTAATGAAAGATATTAAACAATACTTCAAAATGGGTATAGAGTAAAAGAGTGTGTGCAAATCCTAAAAATATAAATCAATCAAAAAGAAATTTTAACTACTATATACAAAGAATGCCTAGTAGGTGGATCAATCGGGCTTGAATTCCAAATTGGAATTATTGCCTAATTTCAATTGGGATTTGTTTCCTCGAAAAAACTTATTCGTGATTGAATTTCTTTCATCTCCAGACAACTCGTGCAAAGGATTTCACAAATTAGTATAAAATGCAGCGTCAGAGTTCTCACTATCATCAATATAATTAATGAAACAAACTTGTAGATGATTAAAACAATAGGATGTGTTGAATTTCTTCTCTACAATCTCGTCAAATTCACCCATCTTACAAATTCGTTCCTCCTCCCCTGTTGCTTAACCACATTCAAAATGTTCAATGCAATAATCATATTTTCAAATGAAATTTTTATGACACTATCTGACAATTGATTAATGCATTTGATGTGGTTATGAATGAGCATCCTAAAATGACCAAAATTTGAGCTCTAGGGTTAGTGATAGGCTCAATATAATGAAATTAATAGGAAAAAAAAAAAATCTATCCACATGGACCAATATTTCCTCTACAATCCCTTTTGGTATCTTCACATTACGATCTGCAAACTGAAGAGTAATAGATGTCAGCTTTAACACCCCTAATCCGAGTTGCTGATATACTAGAAGATTGGCACTTTCACTCAAGTCTAACAATATTTGCTCTTTGATTAGCCTTATATATTGTGTTATTTTTATATTAATTATTGACTAATTACATTGGGAAATACATTATTTGTGTAAAAATGATTAAGTTTCAGATATCATCTTCTTTTTGTAGTGATTGTCTACTTTTGCAAGTAAATTGAGTGAATTAATGATTGAAAGGAAAAAACACAAAGAAAAACTTGTTCGGCAATTTAAAGATGGGATTCCCTTTAATATGAGACAAGAGTTTGTAGATGGGCTCTCTGAAAATCGTGTTTACCCTAGTGAATGATGAGCGTGACGAAAAACCTTCCTTCTCATTTTCCTTAATCCCCATACTGTGATTTATTGTTCGACCTCTCTTTACTGCTTTTTTTTTAATCGAATTGTCTCGGCTAGTATCCCTATCGAGCTCATCATCCACTTTTGCATATTTCTCAACTCTTGCCATTAACTCCTCCACATCAAGGGGTTGGTCTTCTGGTCAACGGTTGGTACAACGGGTTCACTATTGGAAAGCCAATCTTGAATGATGCAAATTCAATCTTTGGATTACAACTCTCTATCTCATTCATCATCTCCCAAAAATGGTGAACATATTCACGCAGTGTCTCATTGTGCTTATTTTTCATGGATAGGAGAGCTCCTATGCCTTTTTGGGTGCCGATTACTGGTTATGAATTTGGCTATGAACTGTTTGGCAAGCTACATCCAACTATCAACATTGTTTCTTGAGAGACTTTCAAATTATTTCTTTGCCAATTCTCCCAAACTATTGGGGAACATTGTAAACAACAGGGCCTCATTCTTCTTGTGGATCTCCATAATTTGTCGATAGTGACAAATATGGACGGTCATATATGTCTTACTGTTGTAAAGCTTGAAATTTGGGACCATGATTTGCTCGAGACCCTTTCTATTTCTATCCACTTGTTGAATGGAGATATCTCTATTCCTTCAAGGTATTCACTAGTCGCTCTTCTTGCAAACTCTTTAGTAGAATTTTGTTCAAGCCATTTCAATCTACTATCAATTTCTTTAGTTATGAAATGCCTCCAGGCGTATTCTTGTTCTTCCAACCGAGAAGACTTCCTCCTTTCATTCATGTCCTCATTGTCTTCTCTTTGCCTCCCCCTATGTCTCTCTAGGGTTGGATTGAGGTCAATTCAACCATGGTCACCCTTGAATCTAGCAACATGGTGATTCAACCTTTACAAGGCTCTCATTATCTAGATTTTCTTAAGGCTTCCTTGAGTGCCTCATTTTCTTCCCTCAAATTTCTCTTCTTCCTATTGGGATCTTTTTAGCATGGTATCGTGCGCGTCAAGGAGGTCTTGAACTAACCAGACTAGCTTCATGAACGCCAAAATTTCTCCATCATTACGTGGGAAATTTCTTGGTTCCGATCATCCTTTTGGGCTTCATTTTTAGGATAATACCCTTCTAATGAAAGATTATCAGGATCGTCTAGATTTTCATCCAAGCTTCTGACAATGTCTTCCTTGATGTCACTATCCATGGGGAAGGACACCTTGTAGTTATGTCCAACGTCGTACTCACCACCATCTCGGTTGTCGCAATGACGCCAATTGTAAGAGGAAAAAGTGTCTTACTTTATGATGGTTGAGATGTTGACTAGGAAAAATGAAAAAAAGATTGCACTATTCTTCCTACAAAACAAGCAAACTGTCACAGACCAGGGTGAGCTGATGCTTAAGTTAGTAAGGGATCTAAAAGTAAGCAAAAAATTTACAGGGAAAAAGCGCGTAGATTTGACTCAAGCATTAGTGAGTATTTATAGCGTTCCATGGCACCCTTTCTGCTAGGGTTTCGCCGTCAACTATATTAGGTGGCACACCTAATCTTTAGTCGGACTATTCTTGATTGATGTTGGAATCTCTCCCAGCTTCCTTTCTCATTCGTCTATTTCTTAGGGCATGTTGATAATATTCACCTATGATTAGGCAACTTCATTATCTGTTTAGCATTGCCTCTAATTTCTCGAGATAGCCTAGCTATCTCATTCACTAGGTTACTCATAGAATCAATGTGGGATGGATTAAAATGAGAAATGCATCCGAGGTATTGTGTGATTGACGCATACCACTTAAGCTAAAAAGAAAGATTTATAGAATAGCCATAACATTTGCTATGCTATATTGGTTGAAGTGTTGGACAACTAAGAAACAACACTTTCACAAATTGAGTGTTGTTTGGACGTATCTATAAACAGCGTACTATAGCACCAGTGAGAAAGAGCTATTGAAAGTAAGCATAGGGGTAGAGATAGGCCAAAATTAATTTTAAGTGAAATAGTTAAAAAAAAAGGCCAATAATAAAAACATGACCAATGATAGAACACAAGGACGAAAGAGGATTCATATAATCGACTCTAAAAATATTTGGGACAAGTTTGATTTTGTTAAGTTGGGTATAAATTAACTATAACAGCTCAATGAGCTACAAACCCACATGCTAGAGAGCTCAAAATAGTGGGGATTTATTGAATAAAGCTCAATTTTGGGACAGAACTTGGTTTTAGGAAGGAGTTTTGTTTAAATATGAAAACACTCAATTACTTCATAAGTCAAGCAACTAATCAGTTTGGATCGCCTTGATACTTTCCACTTGATGAATCCATGTGATGTCTTCAATTACGCCTTTAATTGAACTCATTTATATTCTCTTTCAATAATGGGAAATAACTTTGATCCCAAATGAGTTTGGACCTGGGTCTCATCAACTTTTTGTAACGGAATATATTGATCCTGTCAATATATATAGAATTTTCACCACATTATTACCCTTCTCAAAAAAAAAAAAAATGAGGAATACACCCGCCCAAACTCATTATTTGAGATTCAATTTCGCCTCAAATGCCATTGCAATTCAAAAACAATTAAAATCAAAGACCATGATATCGTGAAGACTAGGAATTGTTCAGCCTTTTGCTCATCAAAGATTACTATGAACAGTAAAAATTTAACTCCTTTATGCCCTGCTGAACTTAACAGCTTAAAGGGATACAACGCTGCATGCTAAAGAGCTAGAACCAAGGTGCAGCTTTTTAGTATTATTGTTGGTAGAATTTGCCCACACTATATTAACTTTCTGGCTCTGCCCCTGACAAGGGGGAGGAATTTGTACTCCCTTAAAAGATGCTTTGACATTAGAACATGATGAAGTTGCTGTTGGTCCTTGGCCACTGTAGGTTATGTTTATGTCATTGAATTTAATTCCTTGACATGGAAAACTTTGGCTGCACTGCACGTTCACTGCAACTTTCGAACTCGAACTCCCTTGAATGTTTATGTAGTTTACGTTGCTGATTTGAACCTGAGAATCTCCCTAAAAACAGCAGGAAAAGATATTTAACATTGATTAGCACTTTGATAACATGATTTTAAGTGAAGCATAACCTATGACGAAATGGTGGGCAAGGGCACGAGTCTACCACCAGTGTGTGGTCTAAGGAGGTTTTTAAGACTCAAATTGTTGAAGCTTAGGTCCCAATGAAGCAAACATAATGTTCTTCCAAAATCCGCCTTGGAAAATAAGTAGTGTAGGGAAGTCAATGTTGATAGGGGCATACCTTGGCACTGCATGGTTTGGCAGGACAATATTGTTGATCAATGATAATAGGATTGCCTGTATTGTACATAACAATGTCTTGAAAAGTAACACCAGTAACTTTGCTGGGTGGGGAAGGAGCCCATGTTTTGATCCTCAAACCATTGCTGGTGTTGTTAAAAGTACAGTTTCTTACACAAATTCCATCGACATTCTTTTCGTCGGGGTATCTTCCGAGGCTTCCGATGCTAATTCCATGGCCAGGTCCACATGAAATACCGTAAATGGAAATGATTGTATTCCCAGGGCCTATGGATATACAATCATCTCCGGTGGCAATGCTGGAATTCAATATTTGAATGTTTTTTGATTTGCTAACATGGATTCCATCAGTGTTACGGCTGTTACCTGGTGCTGATATCTTCACTTGGGAGATAATAATGTCCTCACTGTCACCAATGTTAAAGTGGAAGAACTTGCTATTCACTGAGGTTATGCCTTGAATTGATGCATTGGTGATAGAATTGAATTTAACCGACTGTTTAAGAGTTAAAAATAAGATGTTAAATCGATGACTAGTATAAAAGTCATGGACTGTAAGATGTTATGAACCTTAATGGTTTGGTTCTATAGTCAAACTAATGATGACATACGAGGTTTATTACCCCCGACAACCTAAGTCTAATAGATGGTTATGGCTAACATTTATTAGTGGTTGGAATAATTCTCCATTTTGAAACAACTTACTAATAAGACGAGAAAAAATGAGATGTTAAATCAATAGATGCTATTAAAAGTCACATAACATTTATAAGGTGTTGCAACCCAATTCTAATCATGCTCAATAAAATAGTTATTTAAAATATATTTAAATATTGTATTCATTATTTTAGCTATTCACTTTTTCAAATTCACTCCAATCCAAATTCACTTCAATCACGCTCTCTATTTTAACTGACTATTTCAACTAACTTTAACTAATATTTCATAATATAATTCAAAAATTCAACTCAAAGCATGTATAATCATCAACCAAACCAAAATCATACCATAATAATAATTCTAATTAAACTTTAAATAATACAACTTAATGGCAATTTAACAACCATTCACTTTGACTAACAAAAATTAATTGCACAATACGTCTCATAAATTTAAAATTTTTTCAAATACTTATATTAATATTTTTTAAGGGTCTAAATGTAAATATTCTATTATACATAAAACTAAGAAAATTTTTAAAATTTGAAGAAGTTTCAAAATTTATTAGGAGTTTTCAAAATTGGTAGAGAGAGTGTCTTGCTAGCCAGAAATGATGAGTGAGAATGGAGGGAGACAAAATAGTCAGTGGAATAGAGTGCCGGTTGAAAACAAATTTTTTGAATTGGCTCAGTAAAATAGTTAAAAGATAGCCATTGTTGAGTGGGTTGGAGATGCTCTAACAAGTTGTTGCAATGGTCTAATAATGAGTGCACCGCATACCCATATGTATAAAATCCGAATTTGATCGGTATATGTGGTTAACGGATATTATTAACACAATTCTCTGTTCCAAGAGAAAGAAAATGGTAGAATTGAAAAAAGAGCTTACTACTGGAGGAATCTTGCAATCGGCATTCCCACCACATGTGGTCTGTGACCAAGCCAAAGCTCCTTGGCCATCCAATTTCCCATTTCCATGGACTTTCAAACCATTGATACTCTTAAAGTTAATCCAATGGTCAGTACCAAATGAAGGATCAGAAGGAGCTTGTAAAACTCCATCGATCTGAAACGCTGTTTGATCGTTGCATGGGCCTTGGAGCGTGATCGCTTTCACCATGAACGTTCCTGACGGGATCAAAACCGTGCCTTGATCCTTCTCTTGGCATGCTTTGCTCCATGCGTTCAACAAAGCCTATGAAAAAAAAATAATAAAAACATTTGTTAATATCGATCCGATGCTACGTGAATAGCATGAATATTTTAATTAATCGTAGTGTTTAACAAGAGTCTTCTGAAGAGTTGACTCACCTTGCTATTGTCTGTTTCTCCGTCTGCAATTGCACCAAAGTCCTTCACATTAAAAGTGTTGGATTCACCACAAACTTCATTGACCCATACCAACAATAACACTAAGAAAAAAGCCATTGGAAAAGCCAATCTTGAGCTCATCTCCATTTCTTTTTTTTAATGTAACTCTTGTTCTACTTCTAATTCTCTCATGGGCTAGAAGAAATTGCTATCTTCTTTTATAATGTCATTTGGTTGTAAGGTTTATAATATGGAGAGAAGATTAATTACTTGTTTCCTTATATGCGTCATTTGTAAAATAATTAATCAATTTTACGTCGAATTAATTACTTATCCATTTTGCTATTTAGGTGTAGAACTGTAAACATCCACTAAGACTATGTTTGGTTCAGATATTAAAAAATTAATTTGGACCGAATAAATCAGCCAGACGTTTGATTACAAGTTTGAATCATTTTATACAACTTGATTTTAATGAATTTCTTATTATCTCACTGATACTTGTAATCTTACAACATAGACATAATATCCAAATAATAGGTGTTAATAAATGAGGGTTGACTTGTATTAATATCCAAGCATGACTAAAGTCCTCCTCTATGCGAGTGAGAGAGTCATGCATAGATATAGAGTGCTTTTATTTTTAAAAAGTTAATGCAATATATTACGATAATAAACTCACAGTTTATCTAAATCTTGATTCAAATATTATACCACTTTATCTTTCCCCATTGGATTGGATTGGATTGCAATCAAATTTGCCATCTTATTTACCACACTCCAACTAAACATGTCCTATAAGTCTATATATATTATCATAGTCTATACATATTATCATGAAAATGAACAACAAAATCTTCAATTTTATAATGCTGGCTTTCACAGGCAAACTAGTGGATGCCTCATGCTGTCAGTCTGCATTTTTAAATATTTTCCCAATCTAGTTTCAATTTTTATAAATCATTTGATACTTCCACATGAGCATAATCGATTTTCAGGTGAAAGACATTACAATATATTTTTCCATACTTTTTGCATTCAGTTCTACCTATTTTTGTGCCTTCTAATCGACTTGAACAATATATATGAATCCCCTCAACCCTTTTTTTTTTCATTACTAATGGAATATCCTCACTATTTTACTAAAAATGGAACGAAATGATCTTGTTTTGTTCCACGTGCTCTTCAAGCGTCCCACTATAGACCATAGTATCATCAATATCTACCACCACAAACAGGTCCAAGTAGGGGTGGAACAACTGTTCATCAGGGTGTAAAATGTTTCTGGGGCATTGGTCAAGCCAAAAAACATTACCAGAAAGTCAAAGACTTCCATCGTGTTTTTTTTTGAAATAGCACCAGTACACCATATGGGGACTTTGACGGCTGAAGAAATCCGGCATCCAACAACTCCCTCAATTGTCTTCTCAGCTCTTCTAGCTCTGATGGCATAATATCTTTAAACTCTTCAAAAACTTCTGCTAAAATACCCTAATTATGTACCAAACTCAAATGTATTGGAAAACTTAAATTCGTGCCAATAGTTCGGTTGATTCGATTGGGTTTTCAAAACAGTTAAGCCATCATAAATAAGAGCAAGATTACGGTGATGTTTGATAAAACTGAAAGTTGAATACCGAAAATTAAATACTGAATTTTAAGTATTAAATGTTGAATTTTTTTAATTTATAGACTGTTTGGTATTTACTGAAATTTAAATATTGAATTGAATCAAACTGTTTGACAAATATAAAAACTTAAAATCTAAAAATTATTATTATTCTAATTTTTTCCTTCTCTTTAACTATCTTACCACAACTACATTATTTTTACCACCACCATCACAATGGTGGTAATAGTATGTGGTGGTATCGATGACGATGGGTATTGAACAGCTAGAATAGTAATGACCAATGTTATACGAACTTGATCGGTCATTGAACCAGCAAGGGGACCGGGTCAATAGTTCACTGGTTCAACCGTTTGATCAATTGGTCGGATCGGTCATATAATAAAAAAATAAAAATATATATATATAATAATTATAAAACTTAATAATTTAGCTAAAAAAAATATAAAATATGTATAAAATACATAAAATTTGCCATAAAATTAATGAAATTAAGTAACAAAGTGGGGATTATTGTATTTTAAAGCAAAGTAAAGAGATTCAAGTAAATTATAAAGAAAAAGAAAGGGTGTCATTTATAATTTATCCAAGAATAAGGTTAAAAAAAATCAGCTATTTATTGATTTAGGGCAAAAAAATTTATTTATGTAATTTAATTTTTAAATAGGCATTAAACCGTCCAATTTTTATAAAACCGGCGATTTACGGTTTTTGTTAAAAATCGGCCGATTTTTCGGTTTTTAGCCGGTTCACTTCTTTAAGCGATTCAACTAAAGAATCGGACCGGTTAGGGTCACGGTTCACGGTTGAATCGGTCCAACCGACCGGTCCAGTCCAGTTCTAATAACACTGGTAGTGACAGTGATACAATGGCGGTGACGGGGGTGGGTATTAATTATAGATAGTGTATAAAGAGAAAAAAACATTATCTATATCTTGATTTCTTTTATATTGCCTCTCCAACATTTCTAAATATCCATACATGTCTAATGTTTTTGATTAAATAATTTTATAATGTCATTTCTAACGTGCATAACTTCTCAAATCCAAATTTTGACACTAAAATGTCAATTCTCAGGTTACTAATATCCATCAATTCAATTGGTAAAGAGTAATACTATTAAGACTTAATTTATTGACCTAATTTATTATGACATTTGGATTTATTGCAGGTCTTATCAAACATTAGAATTTTGTGTTAATTCAATGGTTCTAATGAAACCACATCATTTGGTCAGTAAATTATATCAAATTTTTAGGTTCAAATGACATTACTTATTGATAAAGAGTAAACTATTAGAACTTAATTTACTGACTTAATTCACTATGATTTTTGGATTCACTGTGGGCCCATCAAACATTAAAATTTAATGTTGAATGCATTCAATGTATACATAAAGTGAATTGCAAAAAATACCTTTATATATTGTGGTTTCCTTCAATTCAATGTTATTTCTTCTACAGTAATGCTATTTGGAAGTAATGCTATTTGGATTTAATGATGTGGGTTCATTGAAATTATTAGATTAATATCAAGTCTAAATATTTGATGGGGATTACAGTCAACCCAAATGTCATAATGAATTAAATCAATGAATTAAGTTAGTAAATTATGTCTCAATAACATTGTTCTTTCTTCTGTAAATAAGGGCTAACAAAAAATTATTTACTGTAAACTAACACGATAAGTTTAGGGTCTTAGTTTACACTCTTCTTAAAAAAGATAAGTGCAGGGTTTTTCTAGACCCTATTATTTTAGAGGAACGTTCATTGACTAAGAACGGAGATCATGTATATATCAAAATGATTGTTTATCTCTCATTTAGGGTTTCCCAACATCATGCTTCATTCTAAGAGGTCTGGATCTTGGTGGTCATATCTATGATTTCTTTCGGTTTTAAAACTCCTAATGTTTCTCTAATTCTTGTTTTTTATGTTTAGGTTGTACCATTCTTAGCTAGATTCTTAAATTAAAAGTTGCTTTAATTTTGTTTCATATTTATCTTATTAAATATAAACATAAGATAATTGTTTGAGTAACTAACATAATATCAAACAATTTGATTGGATTCCATATGTTCATTATCAACAATGAGTAGACTCCCCATAGTAAGAAATATATTCAGAGAATCATCATAAATTTTTCAAAACAACACGTGAATTTATTAAAAATTATTCACATACAACGCACGTGTATATTAACGATTTTACCATAAAAGTACCAAATTTTGGGGAGTTCTCTCTCTCTAAGAGGCGACGAGTAATAATTGACGTGAGAGCAAAAATTTAATTTTCGTTTTTTCTTATGATATGCAACGTTTCTAAATTTTAATCTTTCGAAACAAAAAAAGTGTTGTATATTTGAAAGAGTATTGTTATTGAGATCTAATTTATTAACTTAATTTGTTAATTTAATTCATTATGATTTGGTATTGATGTAATAATTTCAATGAAACTACCATTAAATCAGCAATTTAAATAAAATTTTCAGATTTAAATAAAATTACTCTATTCAAAATGGTAAGGTTTCGTACAAAATAGAGTGTTTGGTACTTTTTCGCTAAAATAGAAGACGAAATCATCTAAATAGTAAGGGCCTCTTTGGTTTAGTTTTCAAAAACTATTTTTTGTTCTCAAAATTCTAAAAACAAGGAGACGTTGTTTGTTTAACTTTTTTGTTTTCTAATTTTTTGAAAATTTTGAGAAATGAAATGTGATTTTAGAGAACAACAAAATGATGTTCTAATTATTTTCTAAGGCAAATTGAAAACAAGGGAAACAACCTATCTCCCAATTAATGAAGTCACCCCTTCGAGTTTCGTTGGAGACAAAAAAGAGACTGCCTCCACCCCTTCACTGAGCTCCCTCCACCACCTCACTCACTGTGTGCGTCTCCACTTTGCCTATCTCTCCTCTCTCTCCACTGTGCTTCAAAACGAACACACACAGAGGCTTGTCTTCTCGAGCCCGATGGACTCCTTCAATGAATGCGAAGGAACTCCGACAAATCGAAGCAACTTCGTCGACTGTGTATCAAAGTGAAGGAACTCCGAGGAATCGAAGCAACTCTAACGACTGTGTATCGATTTGGGTTGCTTCATATTTGAGTTGCTCGATCTGCGTTGCTTCAGATTTGCTTTAATCGTCTGTGTCTCATTTGGTCTGTGTCTTGTTTGGTCTGTGTCTCATCTTCTCTGGCAAATGACTGTGTATGTTGTGTGGGTTTGTGTTATGTGGGTGAAGATTGAAAGGAGAAAATGGAGAAAAAGAGAAAGATGGAGAGACGAGAAAGATAGTGAATAGAAATGAAAATTGGGGGGGTTTGTGAATAATTGTCCAAATAAGTTTTCAATTTTTTGTTTTTTAAAATTATTTTTAAAAATATATAATCAAACAGTTTTTGCAATCTAAAATTTTTTAAAAACCTTTTTTAAAAACTTTTATCAAAAACTTTTTTCGAATACTATTTTTTGAAACGCAAACCAAACAGATCCTAACTTTTTTAAAGTATATTATC